GGGTCTTATTCCCAGATTGTAACAGTAACAAAGACGGTAAGGTTCTTAACATATACTAAGTACTTACAGTGTGCCTGGTGGACGCCAAGCATGTTACATGATGATATCATACATCCTCCAGCAACCCTGTTTTCTTTTCCTGGAATGACCTGCCCCACTATTAACACTGTCACTTCCGCAGTTCCATTAAGTCTGTTTGGCCAAAGCCATCGTCCATTCCACCACTTCCTCAAAACACCCTTTCCTGCTTCCCACTGCCGCCCTTGTGCTCCACCTGAAGAATGGACTGGTCGTCCTTCCTAAGTGTTCCTGTAACATCCTATGCCTATTCCTGTCCAGCATTTACGATGCAGTATGGTAATTGCCTTTTTGATCATTTGAAGTTCCTTATTAGACTGTTATGTCGATGGTGTGACTGTTTTATATAAATTGTTGTATGCCTAGCACCAACCCTCAATATTTGGTATTCGCTAAATAGATACTTGTTGGATGGATGAATGAATGCATCTATTCTTTATCAGATTGCAAAGGTTCTAGCAATATCAGAAAAGGCTTTAAATATAAGACAAGATAAACATTTCTGGGTGTTCTGTGAGCCAGCCAATTATATAATTATAAATTATTATATTGAATCCTCACAACCCTATAAAGTATATGTATATATTATGCATACACATTATCCCTTTTCTAAAGTTTAGGAAACAGGCTCAATTAGTAAACAACTTGCCAAAATCACATCACTTTAGTAAGTGACGGAATTGGGAATGATGCCATAATGACACAGTACTGGAATGCACTTCCAGAAGTAAGATCAGGGAAGATCAAAATAACAGTAGGCAAGTAGCATGAAGTAAATGAATTATCTGATTGAGTAAACGATACAATAAATATAAAAAGAATCGTCCTAAATAAAAACAGGTTACAGATCATGGAGGGCCATTCAAAAAATCTCCTCCTGAGATTTAAACGTAAGAAGCTCTTCTTCCCGTGGTTTAGGTGCCAGTGCCCTGGGTGGCATCCTTTCATACCTGTTCTCCAATTGTTCTACCCTAACAGGGAGCAGGGCAGGATCTGAGTGGTCAAAGAAAACCTCCTAGGCCGGGCGCCATGGCTCACGCCTGTAATCCTAGCACTCTGGAGGCCAAAGCAGGCAGATTGCTTGAGGTCAGGAGTTCGAAACCAGCCATAGCAAGAGGGAAACCCCGTTAGCCAGGCATGGTGGCGCATGCCTGTAGTCCCAGCTACTCTGGAGGCTGAGGCAGGAGGATTGTTTGAGCCCAGGAGTCTGAGGTTGCTGTGAGCTAGGCTGATGCCACGGCACTCACTCTAGCGTGGGCAACAAAGCGAGACTCTGTCTCAAAAAAAAAAAAAAAAGAAAACCTGCTAGAATAAGTGATGAGTAAACTAAGACATGCAGATTAAGGAGTTAAGGAGGCTGAGGGGGTGGGAGAGAGCTCTTCACACGAGGAGCTAACAGGTGTAAAAGCGGAAGGGGAAGAGAGTACTGTGAATGGGAGGAAATAAAGACACGACAGAATTGCCGGATTTCTAAATATAAAGTAAAAGAAAAGTGGCAATGGATGATCTTGAGAGTTACGCTAAGCTTTGTAGGTTAGGGCAAGGCGTTTGTAATACATTCTGAGAACACTGTTGGGGAAACCACCAAAAAGGTTTTAAGCAGAATAGTGATGGCTCACAGGCACGTAGATTAAGTGAATAGATAATAGCAAAATTTTTTAAATATGTGCCAGAAAATATATAAGTTGTAAAAGGAATAAATATTCTCAATTTATTTTTATGATAACCCTATGAGGTAGGCATGATTTTTTCCCCTATTTAGAGATAGGAAATTTAGGCCAGGTGTGATGGCTCAAGCCTGTCATCCTAGCACTCTGGGAGGCTGAGGCAGAAGGATCGCTCAAGATCAGGAGTTCGAGACCAGCCTGAGCAAGAGCAAGACCTTGTCTCTACTATAAATAGAAAGAAATTAGGAAAACAACTAAAAATAGAAAAAATTAGCCAGGCATGGTGGCGCATGCCTGTAGTCCCAGCTACTCGGGAGGCTGAGGCAGGAGGATCGCTTGAGCCCAGGAGTTTGAGGTTGCTGTGAGCTAGGCTGACACCATGGCACTGTAGCCGGGGCAACACAGTGAGACTCTGTCTCAAAAAAATAAAAGAAAGAAAATAGACTTAACAATGCATGCCAGATATGACCATAATGAATTTACTAAAAGGCCCTTATGCAAGCTGAATAGGATAGTTAGGAGTGTGGGCTATAGACTCAGATTGCCTGAGTTCTACTTACCATTTGCTTGCTGTGTGAACTTGGGTGAGTCATTTCACCTATCTGAGTCTCCAGTGGCTCAACTATATGTCAGCAATAATAACAGTACCTATCCTCATGTAGCTATTGTGAGAATTAGATGAAATACTATATGTAAAGCAATTAGCATAATGCATAGAACATAGTATTCAATAAGTGGTAGCTATTTTATATACAGACAGTCTCAGACTTATGAAGGTTCTACTTAGGATTTTTAAGCTTTAGGATGATACAAAAGCAATATGTATTCAGTACACTCTCAACTTAATGACATAGTTAACTCTCAATACATCCCAGTAAAGTTGAAAATATCACACTTTCAATTACAATAGTTTATAGGGACATCACCCCATAGTAAGTTGATGAGCATCTGTAAAAACTATATATGTTTTATATATAAATATGTTTATAGGTATACAACATGTTTATAAACATATTATGATGTAGTACATCATATATTGTACATTTTTATACTATTTATATTTAAAACTATTAGACAGTTGTATTTTAATGCTAATTGTATAAATGACTATTCTTAACTAATTACTTAAAAACTAATATTAATTAATAATTATTAACTATTCTTCATGCTGTGTCTTGAAATAAGAACCAAAGGCTCAGTAAGTGTTAGAAACAACTAATCCAGCCAAACTATTCATGTGCCCTTCTAGAGGAAAATTATTTAATACTATACCTGAAATGCCTATGTCTGAAATGTATACCATTTTCTACAGTTGTTTGAAAGATCAATAAACAAAATAACAGATGTTCAGCTATCAAGTTATAGGCAATCTATGTAACATTAAACCTTATTAAAGGGTCATAATAAATCTGTGGGCTGATAACTAGGAAAATTGTTAAAACTAATACCAGTCTCTCCGGGAAAATAAAATCCTGGTGTATTCTATATTGCATTTACAGTAATTATTACTTCCCTTTTCCAGGATATTAATTTAAGAGACTCAAGGGAGGATTACTGATTTTTAAAATCCACTGTGGACTATAAGTAGAACTATCCATAGTTACCCACAAATATCTATTTTCTTATTCTCTACATTGTAATAGGCACACAACTAATAGAAGAGAAAGAAGAATAAAAAGAATCACAACAAGTCTTGTCTGTGTACAGATCACTGCCACATAAAGATTAAAGCATGTTAGAAAAAAGTGGCTGGCTAGCCGGCCAACCAAAGCATAAAACAAATATTTACCTCTGAAAAACAGATCTGTGCTATGTTTTTCATTTTATCTGGATTCATTTCCTAAATACCACATACCTGTCACAAGAACAGCCTTAACAAAAATGGCCAGGAGTCCCCACAAAAGTAAGTGTCTCTTCATCTTGACTTCTTTTGCAAAACTGGAGCAAAGAAGGCAGGGTTCAGGTGTGGGATCTATAAGGAGTGTGCAAATGATGGCGCTTCTGCTTTCTTAAAATAACGCTCCAGGCAACTAACAAACTAAAAACAATCACAAGTGCGGTTGAAGGGTGAAGTTTAAATGCTGCACTGGAAAGAAATGTGTGATTCACATTTAAGTATTTTCTTCCAAAGAATACCCAAAAAGCTGTGATTTGATGTAATCATTTTATCTTGCATTTATGCTATATAAATGTGTAAACCAGAAGACTAATAATAATTTCAAGGCAGGAGTCTATTAAGGATGTTTAAATAGGGGTTCTCAACTTTATTACCTAGATACATTCATATTAGTCTTCAAATCAAATATTTGACATTTGTTATTCCTGAAACAATAAATTAATGGAAGAGAGGGAGACAAGGAAGGGAAGGAAAAAGAGAGGAAAGCTCTTTAAGGTCTCAAAGAAATAAAAGCCCTTTAAGGTCCCAGTTATATCTTATGTCAATTTTTTTCTACTAGTGCTTAATTAACCAAGTTACCAGATTTAAATACATATGTATATATTCTGATTACTTTCAGGTATTTTATAAGCTCCAATATGGGATTGGAATTAGAAACTGGTAGATACTAGATGCATCAGTTGCCAAGCTTTACTTTGAAAGCATTAAGGTAAATTTTGTGCCTGCTCATCTAGTAACACCTTTTCAGAATTGTAAACTTGTGAGATGATCTTTATTTGAGATGCCTCAACAGAAAACCGAATCAATGCAATATTTTGTGTAAAATTTTTTCATTTAATTAGTGTCAAATTTAAGAACACACCTGACCTTTTGGACAGAGCACCCCTGACCTCCACCCCAACATGCTAGAATTTCCTGTCCCTAAGGCAGGGTCGGTTCCAAGAATATGTTGGTTACATTTATATCTAATAGCATCACATCTGTGTTACTTTTGGTTCTCAGCTCTAATTTTTGAAGGGATTCCTAGAAATTTAAGAGATAATAAAGAATTCTTCAGGACCATAAATAGGCAAGCAGATTTCATAACTAAAAGTAGGAAATGGGCAGAATGAAAGATACATTAAAAGGTAGCCCATAATTGTACTCCTTCAAAGAATATGTACTGAAAGTCTAGCGAGAACAAAGTGCTAGGTGCTAGAACATGAAATCTTATTATACCATTAAAGTTTATTCTCATTTTAATTTCCATGTCAATACAACTTAGAAACTTCTTGAGTTTAAGAAAAATATACTGGAATTAGAAAAAGAAACAGATCTGAAAGCACATTATTTTAGTTTGTGGTGAAGGCTCCTCACCTCTAACTGAAGTTTCTATTTATTTTTAGACAGAGTCTCACTCTGTTTCCCAGGCTAGAGTGCCGTGGCCTCAGTCAGCCTAGCTCACAGCAACCTCAAACTCCTGGGCTCAAGCGATCCTCCTGCCTCAGCCTCCTGAGTAGCTAGACTACAGGCATGTGCCACCATGCCGGCTAATTTTTTATATAATTTTTAGTTGGCCAAATTAATATCTTTCTATTTTTTAGTAGAGACAGGGTCTCGCTCTTGCTCAGGCTGGTTTCGAACTCCTGACCTTGAGCGATCCTCCCACCTCGGCCTCCCAGAGCGCTAGGATTACAGGCGTGAGCAACCACACCCTGCCTGAAGTTTCTATTAATAAATACCTTATTCTATTCTTCTCCCCTGAAAAAAAGTAATTAAAAGTTAGCTGGATACTTTTTTTTTTTGAGACAGAGTCTCACTTTGTTGCCCAGGCTAGAGTGAGTGCCGTGGCATCATCCTAGCTCACAGCAACCTCAATCACCTGGGCTCAAGCAATCCTTCTGCCTCAGCCTCCAAGTAGCTGGGACTACAGGCATGTGCCACCATGCCCGGCTAATTTTTTCTATATATATTAGTTGGCAATTAATTTCTTTCTATTTATAGTAGAGACGTCTCGCTCTTGCTAAGGCTGTTTCAACTCCTGACCTTGAGCTATCCACCGCCTCAGCCTCCCAGATACTAGGATACAGGCTTGAGCCACCGCGCCCGGCCGGGATACTTTTTTTTAAGTCATTATTTCCTTGAAAACAAACTCAAGGTTAGACTGCTCCCCAAAACAAGTTGGATAAATCACTGGCAAAAAATTAAAGCTTCCCCAAAGCTTTTTTTTTTCTATAAAAGCAAAGATTTCATTCACAATTACTAACCTAAAGAAAAGCTCCATACTTGGTGTTTTCATTCGTTTAATCTTGCAGTTTTGTATTTCTATTATGTAAATTATGGGTTTAAAGGAAATTATTTTAATAAAAATAAGATGTGATGCTTTCTTCACCAGAAGAGAGTTATCGTGCTGGCAAGAGAGACTCTGGACCAGTGTTTTTCTTGTGAGGTCCAGGGATCATCTGCCTAGAATCACTTGGAGGACTAGTTAAAATATGGATTTCCTGGCAGGACAAGGTGGCTCACGCCTGTACTCCTAGCACTTTGGGAGGCCAAGGCGGGAGGATCAGTTGAGGCCAGGAGTTTGGACAAGCATAAGTAAGAGTGAGACTCCATCTCTACAAAAAATAACATTAAAAAATTAGCCAGTTGTTGTGGGGCACACCTGTAGTCCCAGCTACCGGAGAGGCTGAGGCAGGAGGATCACTTGAGCCCAGTAGCTGGAGCTTGCAGTGAGCTATGATGATGTTACTACACTGTTACCCAGGCAACAGGAGAAGACCCTGTCTCAAAAAAAAAAAAAAAAAAAAGGTAGGGGAAGGATTTACTGGCTACACTCAGAATTTCTGGAGATGTGGCCTTGGAATATGCATTTTTCAAAAAGCACCCAGCTAATTCTAATGTACACTAAAGTCTGAAAACTGATGCACAAAACACCTGTGGCAGGGTGGGGTGAGCATTCACTATTTATGGAAGAACAAAAGGTTAAAGATAATTTTTTAAAACAAATAGGCTTATACTGAAAACATGTTAACTGAGGTTTCTAATTCTGTGCTGTAGGTGAATTGTTTTGTGTTTTTCTTAGCATTAATCAACTGTATCTACATATGACAGGTCTAAGTTTAATTTTTAAACCATTTCTTTTCCAGTTTTAGTTATGTTCTTCCCACTAAAAAATGTAAACTGTGACCAGTAGAACCCTTCACATGTGGGTTAAGTGAGTTTGGTCACATGTTCTAAATTCTTTATCATAAAAGGGCTTACTTTTCTATACTCATATTTAAGATTCATGTAATATGAGGTTTAGTGATAGACTCAGCTGAACAAAAGAGACCTTAAAGGTAATTTAGTCTCACTGTCATGACTCCACTCAAATTTTGTTTCAATTTCCTGTACAGCAGACAGTCTGAGTTCAGCATTTGTTTGAAAACCATCAGAAATAGTTGAATGCTTCACTGCCTTTGGACACAGCTTATTACATTTTGGAATACTCAGATCATGACAAGACTTCATTCCCTTGGGACACAGAGAATACACTCTTTCCTCCTGTCTCGCTGGTGACTTCTGGGTCTCTTGCTGAATTTTCCTCTGAATATTGAGGGACTAAAGGCATAACCCTCAGCCTTCTCTTCTTTCATCCCATCCTTAATTAATTTTATCTTATCCCCTGCCTTTGAACACAGATCATGCTGAGGACTCTCAAATGTATAACTCTAGCCCATGGAGCTCTCTACTTCTGTATCCAACTTTCTATTTGTTATCTCCACTTGGCTATCCAATGAGTGTCTAAAACTTAACTAGGCAAAACAGTACTCTTGATGACCAAGCCACCCTCATCCTCCCAACCAAATCTCTTTCTGTCTCAAGTTCTCTCCACAGAGATTTTCCTCTTTCCTACATCCAATCTGCCACCATGACCTGCTGGCTTTATCTCTAAATTATATCCCAAATTAATTCAATTCTCTCCATTTTCTTCCCACCACTCCCATCCTGCCATCTCTAGGATTTAGAAAAAAAATCACCAATCACTGTCACATTATCCTATTTTATTTTCTTCCTAGTACTTATCATTGTTTGAAATTATTTAGTTTATTTAGTATCTGTCTCCTCCTCATTAGAATAAAATCTCCCTAAGAACAGAATAATCCTGTTGCTCACTTCGGTTTCCAAGAACAAGCACAGGAATGCCTAAAATATATTGGTTGAATGAAGGATATATGGAGAACATTTTTACAAGGAGTTGAAAACTGCCTCTAAGTTTAAGTCCTCTATCAATATTAGTCTCTTTTTTGGATACAGTCCATATTGTCAATGTCCCTTTTAAAGTGTAGTATCTAGATATGTGTACAATAGTCAAGCATATCTGACCAGTACTGAACACAGCAAAACTGTAATATTTTTCAATAAATCCTATTTGAAATGATATTACTTCTTTTTTGGCAGCTATGTGACAATATTGGCTTCAATTACATATACAATTAACTAAAAATCTCATTTTTTAAAAAAATGTTTCTGTAAAGTTATGATTTCCCCATATTTAATACTTAAACAGTTAGGATTTGGGTATGAGTTTTAGCATTGGTCCCTAACTCTCATTTTGCTAAATTCAGACCAATATTACAAGATGCTAGAGTCTTTTTTAATCCATATTCTCAAACTTAGCACCTTAGTTATTTCGCTCAGCTTCACAGTGTCTGCAAACACATGCCATCAGATCCTTACTTAAGGCATTAGGAAAAACGTTCAGTGGGATAGTGCTTAAGATAGACTTCCACAGCACTCATCTATAGTCCTATCTCTGCTAACACCAACCCATTAATAAACACATTTTGGGTATAGTAGTTCATTTCAGTTTACTCATATATCCACACTATCATATAGACTGAAAGTCTGTATTTCATCCATAAGGTAACATGAATACTTATCATAAAAGATCAATCTCTCCTTAGTCCTCTATCTTTAATGTCATCTCATTTCTCCCCTTGAAACTCTTCCCTAATATAAAAAGATCCTTGATAGCAGCCTGGCATTTTGCCACTTAAACACTTAAAGGGATGATGATTTTTTTAAAAAGGCTTTTTGGCTTTAAATCCAAAATGTAGCTGAAATCTCTTGATTTTCCTTTTAATGGATTAAGTTCTACATTTAATGTAATAATTCATATTCCCGATTGTCCTTGAACTTTATACGAAAAACAAGTTT